TCATCCGACTGATGATCATTTACCAAATAAGGTAAGATCATCGATGACCAAATTTGGTATATTCCCAGACTGTAGTAGTAGTTAGTGCGTCATTGATCAGATAGTCTATAATAGTAGTTAGTGCGTCATTGATCAGAAAAATGTAATAATTAAAATCATGTATAAATAGAGCAAGGGGATTAGTAAATCTTTACGCTCTTTTTCCCCTTTCTATAAATAAATAAATAAGAGAAGGGAAGGAGATTATCTGTTCGCGACAATAACATCATTATGTTTATGCTATGCAGTTTTCTATAATCGTTTTTTAATATATAAAAGACCATAAATTCACGTTCAGGATCAATTAATCAAAAAAAATGCCAAGTTCAGAAAATCCGTCGCCTTACGAAAATTTAATAAAATTCTTACAAGAAAATATTAAATTTTTGAACAGAGAAAAAAGAAGGTTGGAAAAACGCCTACAAATCAACAAAGTCAATGAAGCAGATTTTAAACCAAAATTTGAAGAATTCCAAAACGTTATAAAGGATCGAAAATCAATTTTAGATGAAAGTGGAAAGCCTTCACTTGAAGAGTTGACATTTTTAGGGGTAGCCGATGTTTCGCAGTTTATAGTTTCAGGGCTCGAAATACCAATATCTAAAATTATGGTAAATACAATTTTAACAATCTGGGTACAAGGAGTAAGAGAATCAAACGGAGAATATGAAAAATGGAAAAAATGTTCAATTCCGTTATTTTATTATACTACTAAAGTAGGTGGATTTTGGAGAATATTTATTCCTTGTTGTAGACTATTTTAATTAATCAAATATGATATTATTAATTTAAAATTGTGATATAACATTAGGGACGTGTCAGATGTCAGTTAATGTCAGTATTATAGGAAGGTGTGCAAAATTTCAACCAGATTTTGGAACCGGTTTTACTTTTCGTATGTGAAAATAAAATCAGTTCTAAACTCTAATTTCAACAATAAAAATGAATTAAGTAGAAAGGAGAAGTCTTTATATCTGAAATGTTATTTCATGGATTAAAAAAAAAAACTTTAGATACAGTATATTTATAAGAACTAGTTGATAATTCGTTGTTCACCTGTTTTTAACACAATAGTATTCTGAAATATTTACAAGCTTAAAAATTTTGTTTGCATAATCTTGGAACATATCCACACTTGCAGATTTTTAAATTTATTCGTAGTAACAAACATACATCGTATATTTTTGAATGCTTTATATTTATCA